CCATGTAATTGATAGAAGCTTTTTCCTATTTATGCTGCCAATTGTGGAAGCTGGACTGAGTAAAGGCATTTTTATTCTGCTCTATTCTGGCCTCACAAACTCCTGCTTATGCAACAACTTATAACTTTAATAACACCAGTATAACTGCATTGGTGCTGGGGGGGGAAAAAAGCCCTAACAGATTTCTTAGCATCAATAAGGCCTGAGAGAACTTGCTGCAGTGCTGGGATGTGACAAGAGGCAATTTATAAGGAATTAACTCTGACAGTCACTTTACACAGCTGATTTTCAAAGATCCAGGCACTAAAGATGTGTTAATGAGGGTACTGAGGCTTCATAATTAATTATATTAGCATCTCTTTGTTACCCTCTGCCTGGTTGACATTTCAATAGGAGTCTGGTAGTATTCTTTGTTATTATTATCCAGGAGTACAGTTATACCTTAGCTCCCAGAGGGCAACGTTGCATGTAAATGCCTCTGTGAATTGCAAGGGCCTTTGGATCTCAGTAAAAGCCCTTGAAGGAGACCCTGCTGGAAACTGAATGGATGTCAGTAAAATTTCTCTAGTCTGGAGTCTCTCTTCAGATATGGACTCTCCTCCCCTTTCATTTCTCCCTTCCCTTCCCTCCCCCCTTCCTTTCCACTGTGCTGGTCCTTCTCACAAGGCTTAAGAACAGCAATATCCAGCATTTACTGAATGTAGTGTTCCAAACCTCTAAAGGAAAGAAACAGTGACCTGAACGAAACAGTGAACAAAGTAACCTGAAAATAGACAATATTTTCACATGCTTGAATTTTCAATAAAAGCAGTGCTGCCAGAAGGAGTCCCAGTCCCGCAAGTGGTGAGTCAGATAATACATGTACGACTGCGGTGGGAGGGAAATGGTCTCTACTTTGTTTTATACCATCTCCAAACCCCTTTGCAAAGGCAGATGAAATTATTTTCCAGCCATACCACTGTGAAAACAAACACGGAATTTAAAGGTTATTTCCTTCGTGTACTTCTGAGAGATGTCATTTTTGAATCCTAAAGGGGAAGGATGACTTTTTGGCAATGATCTCAAATCTTAGTCTGAAAAAGTTTACACTGTGTCACCTGAGGTGGCAGAGCAGCTGTTTGTCTATTGATATATTTCACTCGCTTGTGTTAATTTAAACAAAACTTACCAAGAAGACAACAAAATTGCTGTTTCTCACACCAGTTACAACTGCAACCATGTCATGGTAAGGGTACAGTTTGAGAAATAACTCTTCTAAGTAAGCAAGACTTAAACATGTTCCTTACTCTTTCCTTGTTCATTCCTGCCTCCAAGGGACCCTCTTTCTTTGTGTCATTGTTCGTTCATCTGCACCAGGGCAGCAGATCTAAGCACTAGTCTGAGTTAAAAATAAATGGGGTTTATGGGGACTACTTCTAATTGAAATCAGTTTCCTGCTTTGATTTAACACGAGGCTACAAAAAACCTCAACCCTGCACTGGCACAATTCAGGGACAGTGAGAAGGAGAAGAGGGAAGGAATGTGTGCTGGGGAATGTGTAAGTAGGAACTTCCACTGAAACATAGTTTGTCAAACTATGTCCTGAAAGACTTTACATTCCTCCAAACCAGAACCACCTTTGTGTTCAGGCAGTACCTTGCACAAGGGATCACACTCTCAGAACTCTCGGGATTCACAGACCTATTATAATACCAAAAAATAATACGTGTTCCTACAGACTGACACAATTAACCAAATTCCACTTGCAGATCTTCATTGTTGGCAACTTGCGCAGCATTTTCTGTAGCTGAAGTTGGAGACTAAATCTATTCTTGAGTTCTGTTTAGGCGCTAATGTGGAATAAGTCTGAATGACTGACATTCAGTTAACCTACCAATAAAATAATTGCTTTCCTCACAGAGCTTTTAATATTTAACTGGACTTTTTAATGAGCTTTGACTTTCTCAGATGAAAGGAATAATGTGTACAATGTATTATTATAGCAAAACCTGTATATTAACAGTTCCCTACATATTTTCCTCTTTTTTGTTTCACCTTTTCTGTCACTGTACTCCTACTTAAGACACTCTGCAGATGTTTGAGCAATGCCAACTTGAAACTGCACAACTGCAAATAACATACTGGCTCTTCACTGCTTAGTTTCATCTAATATTTTCTGGATAGAAACAGAGGTGGTTCTCCCTGAGTTCAGGTATCAATGGTGCTCTACGTAACAAGGGAAGTTTTTAATGATTCCCACAAAACCAGCTGGCACTTGGTAACAATGGATGGAATACACATAGTGTAAAACTCTACTGCTATTCCTGAGGGACCAAATCTTCAAGTGTTACTCAACTTTGTTTAGGATTCAGCAAGAGTTTTCCTGCTGGAGAACTCCTGAAGAGATGAGAAATAAGAATTTTGGGAAATGGCCAGAGTTAAAATCCTGGAAAGCAAACATTTATAAATCTTGTAGAAATGCTGCTCCCAGGAGTGAAGAGGGAGAGGATCATCTGGAAGTTGCCTTGCAGGAGAACCCACAGAAACACAGTTTTTCCTAGTCCTCAGCAGTGCTCTACCCTCAGTGTTTATCCTAAAACTTCAATTCAGCATTCATTTAAATTTATAACACTGTAACTGTCCCAAATTTCTATCCATATCTCTTGTCTCATTAGAAAGACTGTGTCTAGCACCACAGCTTCTGCCCTAGCTGTGAGGAAATTACAGCCTTTCTTTAGGCAGAGCAGCACTGAATAGACAGTAGCTACTTCCCCTGTGAATTATTTCAGGGCCTTCCACATAAAAAATTTCATTGGCAGAGCTATTCCGGAATAACTCCAAGTATAAATACTGTAGTATTCCAGTTTGAAAGCGTCTTTATTTGTGATTTCTCTTTCTACCTAGGAATACTTGTAATTAGTCAGTTTTCCCACGAACTTCTGGTTAGAGCTTTCATTTGGCAGGTATGTAGTAAATATATCAGGTATGTAGTAAAATGAAGCCTCAAACATAAACACTACCATACCTCATTTAATGACCAGATGACTTCAAATAATTATCTTGTTTTTCAGACAGTTTCTGTGAAGCTGTAGCTGTATTAAGCTTGGTTCAATGCAGGCTTTAATACTGACTTGAAAACTAATGAATTTGTATCTGTATGGATAGCTTTTGAACATCCACTCCTGTGAATGCACCATGAAAATCTAAATATCTGCTCTTGTAACACCCTGCAGGTGTTGCAGATAGTGAAGAGACACGTTTGCATGTGCCAATACATGTTTTCAAACAAAGCTGCTGTGCATTTCAGATCCTGCCTTTGGATTGTGAACTCCTCAGGCAAGAGGAGATACTCACATCTGGAAGTGGTAGCAGCACACCTGGACAAGCTGATATTTAAACAGTTTTTCTTTTACAAACTACAATTCCGGCATTCTGGATTTGTAACAGCAGCTATACATGTGTCTGTTGGCACAGCTGATCAGTAGTTAACAGCCACAGGGCTCCAGCTAAGCCAAGTAACAGGACATCAATGTCTGAGAAATAAAATCTGAGTGAAAGTCAAAGAAGGCAGAAAACTCCTCCAGTCCACTGTCTCTTTGGGCAGGGACTCTTAATTCCGTAATGCAGAATGTAACTTAATTTTCCAGTAAGTAACTTCCCCTAATATTCTGAAGGCACAGATCAGTTTGGTTCCCTACAAAATTTACAATTCTACACCTTAGGTGAAAAATAGAAGAAAAACATTCTTAAGTACCCACCTATCTGAAAAGCTCATGTCTCGTGTTCAGGTGTCTTGGATTTCATTGAATTTAAGAGTTTTAAGAATCTTCTGACTGCATCTTTGTCTCTAGTATCTGGGAATGAGCACAAGTGTTACATGACCATCCAGTTCTTCACAGATGACAAGCAAGTGCTCTGGTAAGTTAAAAATGTTGGTATAAGAAAAAGTAAAAATCCGGTTTAGCAACTGTGTCTAATGGGAGCTTTACCAAAGGAAGAAAAGAGCAAATCCAAACAGAATCACTGGATTTCTTCAGCTCCATTAGTCACTGCCTGTTGTTTGTGTCACTGAACCACCATCCTGCTTCAAAGGCAGTTAGTCGCCCAGAAATATTTTCATCCGAGGGTTTAAACTGCAACAACTGTGAGGACACGTGGAAGATTATTCTGTCATTATCTAACCACTCAGTTCCAATGTGAGTGTTCAACTGGGAAGGTCTGTGGCCAGTGGAGATGGATAAACAGCTGGAGGGGAGGTATTTGTCTGTTTAATATATGTGCCAAACTGTCTTTCAAGGGTCATGGAGACTCAGCAATTCCTGGGGGCTGTCAAACTGATTACACGCAGCAAAGCAGCTCTGCCTGCTGCTTAGGGTAAGCTCTGATATGCCAGTCAGACTTTACTATCAAGTACAAGCTTATGTGTGCTCGAGATGTTGTGCAGCCTTCAGCTCACAGGTGTACTCCGTCATTTAAAAGCTTTCATATAGGCTAAAAAGTTTGGTCTTGCACTCCAAGGGGGAATCTTTGTTCCTAATACAGAGCCTAAGTCTGCATTCTCTGTGAAAGAGCAAGCTCCCATCTTAGATGCACAATTGTTAAGCAGTTTATTTCATTTCAGCAGTGGTAAAATGATCCTTGGCTTATATTTCTGTACAGTAATTTCTGTAAAGGCTATAAGATTCATTGGGATGGAAGGCTATAAAAATGGCAGTTGCCATTAATTATATTGACTTGCATGATTTGATGTATGCCCATTTTGCCGTGCAGAAATACTTACAAGGAAATGTACTCCCTTTCTTTTTCACGCATCATTGCATTGTATTTTAGAGGATTTAGCACATTTTCTGATTTCAGTTGCCAAACTGGGGGGATATGTTTAAAATACACAGCCAGCTTGACATTCCAGAAACTAAAGATTATTGCCAATTATGTCTCCGTCTTGTACTAACACACCTAACAAAGGAAAGAAGTCTTGGGGAAACTGAACTTTTAGATCAAGGAGGAAATATGAGATGATCTTTACGAAACAGCTCTGTTTATTCAATTCTTGAGAAAAACATGCAGTTACTGCTACACTGTATGTAAATTGTAAGGCCACTAATCATTATCAGCTGCTGCCAAATGCCCCAATTATCCCAAGTATATGTAAAGGAAAACTAACATACATTTTCATTTGTCTGAGAAAGTCATTGCCATCAGGCGGCTGCAAAGATCAAACACTCTGATGTGTCAATGCCAGAGTACTTGTGCCGAGTTTGAACGATGCCACATACAGTATGGTTTTGTAACTTGAACTGTGCAACCTGAAGTGCAAACGAAAGCAGGAATGCTAACTGTGTAGTACAGAGGGAAAAGAGCTATTTCTGATATAGGCAGCATAGCTACTTGGATAGCATAGTCCAGAAAAAAATGTTACTGTTCTGTTATATCTGATCTAATCAAAGCTGAGAAAGGTCTTGCAAGAAGGATGTCATCTTCTCTAAATACATTCACACACCCCCTATATCATAGGATTATAACTGTACATTTTAACCATTATTCAAGGACTAAAACTGCCTTAGAAGTTAGCTACAGATAATGAAAAACACTGGAAAGAACTGGAAGGAAATAACTGAATATTTATCAATTAAACCTCTAAGTTTGGGGGTGGGAGTGTGGGGGTGTGTGTTTAATAGTATCAGGGATATTAAACACAGTTATATATTAGGTCTAAGCATCGTATGTAATTTCTGAAAATCTTGTTTAACAGCAGGTAACTCATGTCACAACAAGACTTTATACCACCCAGATAACATTTTCCTTCCCTTGTAATGAAACCACATGGGGCTTGGGATACCTACACAGAGGAACAGTTTGCGACTGAGTTGAGAGTTGTTTCTTCACAGACATTTCAGTTCTATTCCTCCTGAGTGTACATGTTAACAATGCAGCAAGAACAAACGGTAAATCACTTCATCTCTCCTCCACCCCTCCTCAGGCTCAACAACAACTCTAACTCAATTGCTCAGTTTTACTTCATTGTTCTATAAAGCAACGAGAGCACAGAGAGGTCATCATTCTATGAGTTGTTGTCACATTCCTTTAGCCAAGCCCCAGAAGTATTGAAGCACCTGTTGTTTTGAGACCTTTTACTACACGTACCCAGAAGTTAGGCTGCAGTACAACAGTCTAAGTGAGGCTCTCTCACAAGCAGAAAGGACAGGCTGTTAAAGCAATAGCACCTGGTCAGCTGGAGCGAAAGGATGTACAATCAGAGAAGATGTATTGATGTTGACGTAGCTTTTCTAACAGAAGGAGTTAGGACAAAAGGTTTATTAGGAAGCTGGGACCAGCACATCACCAGCACTGAAGGAATAAAGCAAGCAAAAAGGAAAGTAACTATGTGAAGGAATGCTACTTCCTCCAAAACATCAAACTCTGGTTTCCCTTTTCACAGGGAAGCATAAGTTTGTATTTTGTGTCTCAAATTTAAATCTCTCTTGAAAGCTTTTATTTTAATATTTTTATATATATAATTAATATCTACTCTTGATAATAGCTAGTTTTAAGGTCCAATAAATGGATCATGGAAATGTTTTTAACAGTACAGCAATGAAAATTAATGATTATTTGACTTTACTGGATCACCTCAATACCGTACTTCAGGAATACTTAGTGTTTCATAGACTAAACAAGTGATTCTGGTAGGGCGCAGTCAGATGCTGCTTGGATCATGTGCCTGCTTGGAACTAACGTTCAAACTTACGGCCCGTACTTTCAAACTATAGACCTTCAAAGGCTAATGTAGAGCAATACAATGTAACAGTAAATCACAGGTGAAAAAAGAAGAAAAAGAAATCACACAGATACAACTGCATAGTAGAGACTCAAGGGAAACAGAAGGAAGAAAAAATGAGCCACACACACGAGCTTACCTGATCTGAATGTGAAGATACCCTTCTTAATTGATCTTGGGAGATGCAGACAGGGTATGAGAGATGTTCTCTCACTGCAATGGGCTTTGGGAAGGCCTTGGGACATCCTTCTTGGGAAGGATTTTATAATCTTGCATTTATAAAGTTATGATGCTTTGCTTACCTTTGTGCCCAGCAGCTGAGAGTTCACTGCGGTATGGAAAGCAGAGGATGGCAGCTCCTGTCCTGCTGTGTGCACGGGGAAGCTCAATTCAAATTGTGGACATGCAGCAGCCGTTGTAGGTGGCAGTGGAAGCAAGGACATAGCTGGTAGGAAGTGACAGCTGGGAATACAAAAGAAAAAGCCATTGGGATTTGAAAGCAATTGGGATTTGGAAGCAGCAGGTGGTAGTGGGCATCAGAAGACCTTAAGACCTTTGAGGAAGCAGAAACTAATCCCGGCCTTGTTGAGTAAGTCCATTGGAAGGGGCAACTTGAAGAGACAAAAAAGGAAGCAAGCAGGGAGAATATGGTAGTCTTGTGTGACTGGAAAGCAGACACAAAAGGCAAGTTCCTACTCCATCAAAGTTCTACTTGTTTCTTAGCCTGGTCTGCATCGAAATATTCATCTGTGACTGATACACTGTGTATTTTTATGGAAAAGACTGGCTTAGCTGTTACTTTAAGAGCAAAGCAGAGCTATCTGTAGCTGTGAAGCTGCAATGAGCCCTTCCATGACAGGTGGACAGGAAAGGGACAAAACCGGTTATTTAAAGTCTGCTTGCTCTTGGTGCAGTGGCAGGTGTGCTGGCAGGCGGCTGGGCTCTGTGACCTTCTAGAGCTGTGCTCCCACAATAGCCGCATGTGACTGACAGGGCCTCTGTGCTTTTAAAACGTTAACATCTGAAGCTCTCGCTCTGGGTCGTGCTCCGGCTCAGGGAGGACGGGGATCGCCGTGTCCCTGTGGAAACACGACCTCACCTCACGTTGCCTCTCGAGGCGTTGAGGCTGGTGCTGAGGCCACCACAGGCAGCCGCTGCCCTCAGCAGCCATTTCGGGATCCCCCATTTGGAGACCGCTGGTCCCAAACGCCCCTTTTTCCCCCGCCTCGTTTCCCACCCCCGTCCGCTTCCCCTCACTGGGCGGCCCTGACGAGCCGAGCGCGGGCACAGAGCGCGGCGCGCATGCGCCTCGCGCTCCCCTCGTCCCCGCGCGCCATGCACACCTGCGCGCGCCCCCGCCCTTCTCCCGCCTCTCCCGCCGCCCTCTGTGTCTCCGCGCCGAGCCCCGCCTCCCGCTCCCTCCGAGGCCGCCCGGCGCAGCCAATGGGAGCCCGGCATGGGGTGGCCGGCCGGGGCGGGGCCAACGAGCGGAGCCTCTGCGGCTGCGCGCCGCCCGCCCGCGGCGAGGAGGTGGTGTCCGCGCCTGCGCGGAGCGGCGCTCTAGGTCTCACTCTCGGAGGGGAGCGCAGCGCGCCTGCGCGTCTGGCCGCCCGCTGCCTAGTGCCCCGGAGGGGGGCTTGGTGCGCCTGCGCGTTGCGGCCGCCGTACACCCCCCACCCCCCCCAGTGCCCTGAAGGGGGGGGTCTTGCGCATGCGCGCCGCGCTGCCCGCCCCTCGCCAGCAGCAGCAGCAGCAGGAGGAGGCGGCGGTGGTGGTGCTGGCTGTGGAGAGCGTGAGGCAGAGCGAGTGCCGCTGCCGCCCCCTGCTCTCTGGGAGCCCCAGGTCCGGGCGGAGGAGGCCGGAGCGCCCCGGAGGCGGCGGAGGGAGCCAGAGCGGCGGTGGCAGCAGCAGCAGGAGGAGTCTGTGCCCGGCCCCCCTCCCCTCCCCCCTGCTCAGTCCCGTTACAGCCCCCCTCCCTCCGCGCTCCGCTCCGCAGCCACCAACATGTCGGCGCCGGCGGCCAAAGTCAGTAAGAAGGAGCTGAACTCCAACCACGATGGGGCCGACGAGACCTCAGGTGAGGCCGCGCCGGGGGCGGGAAGGGAATGGCGGCAGCCGCCGCGGCCTCCGCCTCGCACCGCGCCGCACCGACCGCCATTTTCCCCAGCCACACGGGCCGCGGCCGGGCCGGAGGCGGGAAGAGCGCGGGGTTGGCCGGGCGGATGTGCAGGCCCCAGCAGCGGCAGGAGGAGGCCATGTTAGCGCCCTTTTGTCTCCGCTCCCCGGCCCGGCCTCCTTCCCCACGGGCGCAGGCGGGGCCGGGCGGGGGGCGCTGCGGCCTTGGCGGAGCAGCGGGACCCCCCCGCCCCCCCTCCCGGAGCAGCATCCGCGGAGCCTCATTGTGCTCCGCCGCCGCCATGATGCTTCGCCGCCTCCTGGTCCCCGCGCCGCCGCGGCCGCGTGGTGCTGCCCCGCCGCGCGGGGATGCAGCGGGGCCTGGCCGCCCGGGGAGCCACGCGGTGCTCGGGCGGCGATGGAGCCGCCCGCGTCGGCCCCACGTGCGATTCGCGGCAGCTCAGGGATTTTTAAAGGTCGCCGCGCCGTGGGTTTCCTCCCGGCGGCCGCCGCCGCGGGAAAGGCGCAGCGCTCTTCTTCCTCCTTCCATCAAACTCGCCTTCGCTCCCTGCGGTGCGGCGCCCGCTGCCAGCGCCGGTCACACACGTGCTTTCTATCCGCGGCCGCTTCTCCGCCGTGGGGAGGGCGAAGCAGAGCGTTCATCGGGAGAGCTGTCCCCTAACGCGGGCTGAGCCGCGCGGGATACTTAACAGGGGAGGAGGGAGCGTGCTGCACCGCTCCCGCGACTTTCCGCGGCCGGTCATTCATCTCCAGCGCGATAGGTAAACAGGGCTCCTGAAACGCGGAGCTCAGCCAGGCTCTGTGGAGGGGACGTTCCGGTGCGAAAATCCCGGTAAACTGCGGCTTTGAAGGGTTTTTCGCTTGTAACCGTCCTGTCGAATGTTCTTGTCATTTTTTAGAAGGCGGCGTGTCGCCGTTCTATTGATTTTTCTGGTCTCTCTAAATTTTTTAACGTTCTTTCAAATGGGTTTGTCTTAGCACATACGGCTCAAAGCTTTTTAATGAAATTGTTATTTATGTGTCACGATCGACTTCTCATTGAGTTGTAAAGCCGTGTAGGGGAATGTGAACTGGGATTTCTAAGGGTGAACTCTCTGACTGCTGTTTCGTCAAACTTTTCTGTGCTTCAGCTGTAGCGCACCCTGGAAGTAGCTGAAGCTTTAAGTCCTTGTAATACTTATGACATTTAGTGGAAATATCCGTGTAATTCAGAAGTACGTTACTAGAAAAGGGCTTAAGCAAAACCCCGGCTGATTTGTCAGGCTTGAATGAAGGGATTTTGATGCATTTTTGTTTGTTTTTTTCAGAAAAAGAGCAACAGGAAGCAATCGAACACATTGATGAAGTACAGAATGAAATAGACAGGTAACAATGAGCAAGCTTTTACAATGAATGCTTTAGTAGAAATTGAAGTGTAACTTTCAAAAGTCAGAGTATTTAGTAAAGAAACCTACTCGGTGGTAGCTCTCACTGTGTTTAAATTCTTTCAAGACACACTTTTGTGGTGACTTGATTAGATATAAGAGGTGTTTGTATGTGATAAAAGAATTGAAGTATCCTGGGGTCTTGTTTTATTTCGGGTATTTTAAAAGGTAGGCCTTGAGCTTAAAGCTTAAAATTTATTGTGATATTTTTGATACTAGAAATTTATTTTCTATTGGGCTTTCAAGTTCTTGTGTATGCTCTTTTGCAGAAATGCTTCTACGTGTGTAAGTGGAACCAAAAACTTGTTTGAAAAGTTAGGTTTCATTATACGTTTAAAAACTTGCATATTCATTTGCTTAGAAAGCATCACTTGAATCTTAAGTTCCATGTGCCAAAACTCTGTGGGTTCAGTTGCTATTTGCCTGGATTGTAGCTCTGTGCACACTGGCCTACAAAGACTGCAGATGACCACTGAGGCTCTGGCCATGTGAAGCTGTTGCATTATTGAGGCTCTTTTTTTGGAGCCAAACCCAATTGGATATTGCACCTTCAGATGTTACTTGTGTCAATGCAGAATTGCTTTTCTGGAGCTTGCTTGCTCAAAACTTAAAAAGAGCAGGTGATAGTGTTATGTGTTGTCTGTGTTTAGGTCTTTTGCAATCAAAACATTTAAGAGGTAAAAGCTACTTTGCTTTGCACAAATAAGGGTCTGTCCCTCATGTAATGTTGCAGAACATAGGATGCATTAGGAATGTTTCATTAAGATCAGTGAAATTGCTTCTGGTAGTGTGTTTCTGAATAGTCATTATGGGCTTAGGGCCTCTGTTTTTTGTTTTAGGTGCCTCATCTGTTGAATATGGGAGACTAGTTTAATCAAACCTGGTCAGTTTTTTGGCTAACTACTGCTGATGTGGCTTTAAAATTCAGTTCTCACTCTTGTGCTTTAACGTGGCTCTTTGTCTTTACAGACTGAATGAACAAGCCAGTGAGGAAATTTTGAAAGTAGAACAGAAATACAACAAACTCCGCCAGCCATTCTTCCAGAAGAGGTCAGAATTGATCGCCAAAATCCCAAACTTCTGGGTAACAACATTTGTCAACCACCCACAAGGTATATTCTTAAAAGCCCTCTTTTTCAGTGTGTTCTTGCTGGTGATGTGTCTTGCAGCTCTTCAGGGTTTTCTAGAATTGTTGCTGGACATATGTTTAAACAGAAGCCTGTTCCATATGCAAACACTTCCTCCTTTGTTCTAGAGTGTATTTTACAAGCTTTTTATTTCTTACACTTGTTGCTCAAAGGAGCATCTTGGTCACTGAAAATCCTGTGGTGGTTTTCTTTCTGTATTTCAAATGATAAGTTTCCTGAATTTTTTTCATTAGTTGGGCCCTTAAGAAAAAGGACAAAAAAAAAATAATTCTAGTTTTAGTGGTTTTGCTAATTTTTAAATTGGAGGTGAGCTCCTGACAGTAAACTGACTTTCTATAAAACGTGTTGGTAGGCTGCTTGTAGAGTGGTGAATGCCATGTGTGAAAATCTATTTGAGAGAAGGGTAGATGCATGTAGAGCTTTTCTTGCTTCTTAAAATCGAACTACAACAAGCAAATACCATGGTTTGACCTCAGCAATATAAATCACATAAATGCCAATAGTCTGCTGGCTGATAATTTGCAAACAGTGGGCTGCAAGAAGTTGGCTTGGACAGGCGTGCTGCGTTTTAAATCCTTCTTGCTGTCAATTCCCTGTATTTCACCTGCATGATTCCCATGATACACCATTCATAGCTTTGTTAATGTGGGATTCCTAATTCTGTCTTTAGTATCTGCACTGCTGGGAGAAGAAGATGAGGAAGCACTGCATTATTTGACCAGAGTTGAGGTGACAGAATTTGAAGACATCAAATCAGGTTACAGAATAGATTTTGTAAGTACTTTAAAGAATTCTTTCATTTATGATTTTTCTGCTGGTTTTTATGTACTTGCATATTGGGTTGTAGTTTGTAACTTAATCTCTTCAGTTACACAGTTAGTAATAGGTAGTGCTAACTCCTAGGACTTGGCACATGTGTTTACATGATGTGGGTTCTAACTCTTTGCTTTCAACTCTGCAGTATTTTGATGAGAATCCATACTTTGAAAATAAAGTTCTCTCCAAAGAGTTTCACCTCAATGAAAGTGGAGACCCTTCTTCAAAATCAACTGAGATCAAATGGAAATCTGGGAAGGTATGTATCTGGGAAAGAGGATTGCTCCTCTTTGTGATGCCATCACTTTAAGTATGTACCTGTGACTAGTTTTGTATTATTGGAAGGTGCTTTGTCCTCCATTTCTTCCTCTGTCAATCCACTGCCACTTCTCTACATACATAGTGCATGCCTATCTTGGAGGGTTTGGAATACCCCACTGATGTGAGATCTGTTGTGAATTCTCTTGCTCAGCTGAGCAGTGAAAGTACAAGTATGACCAGGTGGAGAGATTACAACTGCATTAGCTTGTCTCTCTCTGGCATGAATCTAGATGTGTTTTGTTGTTTGCTTAAGATAACTGTTAAATAAGGAATTCCAAAACTAGCAGGATTATGGGGGGTCAGACAGTGGTATATGATTTGATTTTATTCTCTTTATTTCCTCAATTTAATTTCTAAACACTGCATCTTT